ATCCACTTTCTCTCGTGTGTATTATTAATGAGAAACTGCGCGATGTTCCGTGGAAAATTTCAGAAAATTTGTTTTTAAATATTTATCTTGACACGTTGACTGTATAACTGTATTATTATCAAAATGTTATATTAATGGTATTTAAAATTTTCTTCTTCTCCTGCTTTTCGTATTATCTGATTTTTAAGCCGATCAAGCTTAAATAGACGAATCTTAATTAAAATTTTAAATGTAGCCTACTAAACTCAAGATTTTCAGGTATGAATTTTATACGATGTTTCGTGAGAGACAGCTAAAGTACTAGAACGATAAAAAAGATCGTAGAACATCGGATTAATGTTAGATTTTGTGCAGTTGAATGATCACGGTTCGCTTCGTTTGATAGACAGTTATAATGGTTTGAGCGCAAAGCTTCATTGAGAAGACAACCAGCAGGTTTTGTCGGATTCGAAGATCGAAATAGGCAATATGCGGTTCTTCAGAACGGCTTGATTGAAAAATACCGATCGATAGCATTCGTCTGACTATGAACCAGTCGATATTATACCCGATACAAAGTTTTATAGTACACCGTACAGTCTATGGGGAAATCATCCGGGAAATTGCACAACGGAATTTCAGGGCAACTTTGAACCGCTATCTGCATGATCTAGCATGGAGGATTTGTCGAGTTACGTGATTAATTAATCTATCGAACGATGGAAGGATTAGCAAGATTGATCATCAGTAACATCGATAATATAATCCGCCCTATGTTTCAAAATATCTATAATAAATTGTTGATCCTAATAGACCAAAATTATTCATCATTCAATCATCGATAAACTTCCGTTGGAAAGCCACATTTAAATTGCCTTGAAATTCAACCTTTCCACTGATGATCATTTGATGACCCCCTGCTTTACGACGGCTCAGACAATTCTGTGCAAAGGAAACCGAGGGAAAAAAGTTTTATCCGAATTCATTCATGGCGGTATTATGTCCCGACATTTTCCCATGATTACATAATACAAACTGTACTCGTTATCTCAGGGTATTCTGCTTATTGCGCAACTCTCAATTCTGCATAATAAAAAGTGGCTTTTATCGTGGAACGAGGTTCCGGTTGGGGAGGCAAAGGGTGAGCATCGTTCGAGGAAAATTTCGTACAAAGGCCAGCGTGGAGAAAATTTCCATAGGGGTCCGAAAACGCGACACAATAGCGTGACCCTCGAAAATCCAGCGTAATTCGATGATGGCCGGAGCTTTAAGAGCTTTCGAGCGGACCGTTCCCGTCTTTACGGCCATTTTCCTCTCTTCGAAGTTCGGATAACCATGCCCTGTTGACTTAACGCCGTCCCCATTGTATTTATCTGGCTACCAACACGAAATCCGCCGGATAATGTCCTCGTTTTATGTGTCCTTCCCTCTCGGTATGTATGTGTGTTCACCTGGAATATTGCATACTGCATGCATTTATATGCATCCGCTCGGTTCGCTGGCGAAAAGGCGAACGCTAACGTTCCTGGGCCGGGGTTAAGTCGGAAAGTCTTGAAAGCATTACCTTGCGTCTGCTGAGGCAACGTTCTTCGCGAATTTTCCGGCTCGAAAATGCTTAAGGCGAGCGAATTGCTTGTTGGAATAATAATCGTCCCTGTGGTAGGGGAGAAAACCGAGAAAATTGTACGATTTTGTTCACACGTTCGTGGTTGGTAATTCTAAAGATTGCAGGCTTTGCGATGCATTCGGAATTTTATTTCTCAGTTGCGACGGGATACATTCGTTTGAAATGTAAACGATGATATCGAAAATATCGAAATCATGAACTGCTAAGTGATTTAAAAAATACGGTATTAGGTCAGCGATCACGAATCTTTTTAATTTTCATTGTTCAGTGAATCGTTTTCACGAGTGAGCTGCCTCGAATATTGGTCACGAAATTTGTATGCAACGGACAAACTCGATCTTTGGAAGCAACGAGTGCATCACACGCGTGTATAGGGAATATCAAGTGGAATGTAAATGTTTTATCAAATATATTTTCGAATTTCCTTCCGTTTGTTGTGCCCAACGTCACTGAAGCCTATATTGGGCACGATACGGATACATAGATATATTGTTTCCCATATGTTCAAAATACATATTCTGTTCTCTAGATTTTAATGTAAAATTGGTATAATAATATCCGGGGATACTGTTTTTTAATCACAAAGTTTTGCTCGAATATTTTCTTTCTCATTGCTTTGTAACATTTCGAGCAAAATGTATCCCCAGAAATAACAAATACGTACTGCCATTTTCATGTTATCGAATTCAATACTGTGGTTAATTACTCGACAAAAATAGAATGTGGGTGGTGAGGGGGAGGATCCGTTTAATATATAACACATGTTTCGCAATAATAATTCCAAACGCTCATCGAAAAGGAAATTGCAAAAATTGATTGTTAAAGGTAATTGTTATAGTTCACGAAATTAATGAAGTTATACAAAAATGTGATTTTTCTTATTCAAATTTCAATAATTGGATGGAAGAAGAAACTAGAAAAAAAAATCAAGTTCATTTTCTCGCAGGTATGCATAAAGAGAAACGTGTTAATTGTATCTGCAATTTAAGATAATGAATCTGAAATCCATCATTTGGTTGCATTTTTAGTAGTGCTACATTCACCGAGAAATTGCAGCACCTGTAGGGATGCAACTCGATTTACAGCTGTGTCAATTCGAACGCGATATCACAGATATCGATCGTTAAAATGTTACATAATTAAATTTTTAAGCAAATTTGTAAAACTTGTTTATTGGCTGCGTAAACGATTTAATGTTAAAACGCACAGGTGCAGTGGCATGGTTTTAGAAAATATTAAAAACGGTATGCGCAATATTTATCTAAAAAATTTGCCTGTTTTATTTGCTAGAACGTAAATACCAGCTGTTGCCTCTTAAATTAATTTACGATCTATATTAATATTCACGAAGAACAATTTGATAGATTTTATTGTTCCAACACCGTGATTACTGCGGCACGTTGGTCGTAAAGCCGCATTGCATCTCGAGCTGTTCATAAATCGGTGGAGTGACGGTCATTAGACGGAATCATCCGTAAATAAAATTAGTTCCATTTTCGCTTAACACGATTTTAATGACACTTGCCATTCAACGATCAAATTGTGTATTTGCATATTTCACGGAACGCATTACGGGAAAATTGTACCCTTAAAGTATAAACTGTCCGATTAATTAATCTTCAAAGCAGTGAAATTTACAAACGAAAAAAATTTTAAATTTCCTTCTCTGTGATTCGACTGAAATTACAAAACAGCTGAAAGTAAAGGGTGGTAAATGAAAATCAAACTGAAACCGTATGCACGTTTACTTTATTCGGTGTATTTTGGTCGACCTCGCGTTAAACGACGTCGACGGGAATTTTGCTCGAAAATAGTTTCGAACCTTTATTATATTTTCGTCGATGCATTATTTGCGAAGTAAACTATTCCGCTCGAACGGTTGAACGTAGAAAACTTTCGCCGATATCTGCCATTATAAACGAGGTTCAATATCGGCGGCCACCAGAAACTGAGCTAAACCTATATCGACGTCAATCTTTCGCCGTTAAAAAGACGCTATAAACAGCCTCATTAATTACGAGGTAATAGACTGTCCACCGATTTAATTAATTAACTGTCCCTATAATTTCGCTTTATTCTCAAAGGATAGAAAATTATTGGTTGCATGCTTATTATTCTTCATTGCATGATTCGTTCAATTTTAAAGAATAAAACTACGTTTTGAAAATGTGACAAGTGGAGAAAATAAAAGTAAGTAAATTTTTCTTTTGTGTTGTATATTTGCAACATAATGGAACGTCAGTTGTTAAAACTGAAATATAATAAACATGTAACAAATACGTGAGACACAATGGAAAAATTTATAACTGTTTTTGTGTTGGAGGGAAAATCGTTCCGATTGAAAGAACGAAAAAGAAAATAAGCGGAAAAAGAAGGGCGTTTACAGAGGCGACACAATGTCGAAAGTTTTTAACAGAGAAACAAATGTAAAAGAAACAAAAAGTAGGATGCATCGTCGGTGCTTTTTGTCAAGACTTTTTTTTTCCTGGTTTCACTGCGAAGGAACAAAAGTGCAGTGGGCCCAGTGTCAGTAGTAAATTCTTTTCCTGATCCGACCCGAACCTCGGGAGAAGAGTTCACAGTCCGATAATTACGATCCGATGCTTTTAACAATGAAACACCGTAAAAGGATAACGTTCTATGGTGTCGTCTTATTGAAAATTATTTTCTACCTTTGATGCGAGTTTGTCTTTTCATCGCGTTCCTCAATGTTTCCACTTCTCTCAAATAATCAAAGGAAAGCAAAACTTACAACTTCGAACATTAATTAGACTATCCCTCAAGTAATTTGTTATTGATTAATTTCTGATTCTCTCTTCGAGAGAAGCTATCATAAAACGACAAAATCGGGAAAGTTTCTTGGTCTGAAACCAATTAACCCAGGGGGAAAGTATCCGAAGTAAATGAAGCTAAAAATGGACACTCCGCCAAAGTCGTTAAAGGAAAAAAAGTGAAAAACAAAATGGAAAGAGAAAAAAAGAATTGCGGACGTAAATTCGACGATGTCACCGTTTCGGTATCGCGAGAAATAAAAATCCAGGACACTTGGCAACTGAATCTATCCGTTTTCACGGTGACTGTATTAAAGTGGATTAATGCATTGTTTTAGATCTTTCGGTTCCATCAAGTTTCCGTTGAATTGCCATCGTCGCGTGAACATTTTATCCCGTCTGTCGCGAAATAATCGCAATTGTATTATCGGATAGAGGAACGTTTTTGAAAAAAAAAGTATATTCATGTTTTAAAATTGGTATCGGTAAAATTGATGCAGAATAAAGGCACCGCCTAATAAAATTTCCGGCATCCTCAGCGCGGACTCCTTTAAGTATTTCAAGAGTACGATTCAATTTCTTTCCACCGAATATGAAGCTGACCTTCTTTGTTCTGATTGCAGGATGCAGGGACGACAGGATTGCAGTTGCACCGGTTAAAATGAATCGTAGGGAGGACCCGCTGTTGCGGCAGCATCGCAGCCGTTTGCTGCAATTAGCCGAGGCGACAAACATCAAGCCTGGCCGTGGCAGCGGGAAAAGACGAGGCCAGAGGCAGTCGCACGGTTTTGGACCCAGGTCAGCAGACAAACATTTTTTAATTATAATTCTCCGGGATACTTTGCGAGCAACAGGGATATTAAAGTTGCAGCCGAGAGTAGAATGAAAAAGAGTTGTAAAAGTTTCGCGAAGGGCAAATGGCAGTTCTCTCTTGATAAGGAGCGAAGCGTGTACTTGCCTGATGAAACTGCTTTAAACTTAACGCAATATTAAATGCTGACCTTGTATTAAAAATGAACATAAATTAGAAACCGAATAGAACCGATCTTCAACCGCTTTTACAAAAAAAAAAAAAAAAAGGAAAGATCAAAGCGGTAACGTGTCACACTTTAAACCCGTTTCGTCCCCTTTTTACTTTTCAACTCGTGTCACTTACAGAGGGAAACTCAAAGAAAAACCTATTTCCACGTATCGTAATTTTTTTCCCCTTGTCGTTTTCATGTATGTATACGTCTTCATTATAATCTCGGCTACAATAGATCCCAGGACGGTCTGCCGACGACGTTTTTATTACCGACCGACCGTTTCCTTCCTTTTTTTTCTTCTTCTTATTCCGTCTCTTCCTTATCGTCTTTGATGGATTGCGATGAGATGAAAAGAAAATCTCAGGAGGGGAGGGAAAATACCGGGAGACAGTAAAGTATCCGTGGCTTTCAGTGGGTTTACATAATTAACCCTTTAAAGTCGACGTTACACGCGTCGACGTGCGCGACATTCCATTCACGATGCATTTCACTGATCCACCTTCTACCCCTTCTTTGTTCCTCCCTCTCTTTTGTTTCTGTCGCGTTGTTTTTACGCTTTCACGTTCGAACCCGTCCCTTTTCACGACGTCCCTTGACGAAATTCCTTTCACGCGAAAAGATTGTCGGCGCTTCTTCTCGCAGAAGAATTTCGCGACTCCCTTAGGCAGACCGTTCCCGTAGCCTCGATAAATATTAACTGTGTTCCCCTAAAATTCAACTTCTCTCATCGGACGATGAGAACGACGTCGTTTGACTTGCAAATACACGGAATACACGCAAGTTCGGGATATCGTTTCGGGTTTCGATGCAGCGCAACGGCGAGAATTGGCTGGAAAAAGGAATTTGCTTTTTCCACTTGTTTCAGTAATGGGGGACCGAGCGGCGGCGGTCGTGTGACCCTCCAGGATATCGTGAGAAGCGATCCTGGATACACGCCAAATATCGAGCATTTAGTTTTTCCGGAGCGCAAGAGCAGCAATCCGAATTTGGCTAAAACCAGCGACGAATCGCCGTCGAATAAATCGAAATCGAACCCTACCAGCTCGGGAAGATCCAGACTCGCCGAGGTGTTTTCCAGGCATTACTCGAGAGGATCCTCGCAGGACTCGTCGGTCACGTCCAGGAAGAATCATTTAAACGTAAGCGTCTAATAGTTCTCTTCCTTGCCTCGCCGTTTTTATTTACACTTAAATCGATTCTGACTGTACCGAAAACAGCGAATTAGATTCTCAATCACTTAAACCATTTCGTCACGACGATAGAACAAATTCCGTCTCGTTACCGTTGAATTATTGGCTCGACCTAAATATTCTCGTCGATTTCTATGCTGGCTCGCGACGCGAGGTCGTTTCAATTTTTCCACGTTAGGTAAACAAACGAGTGGTCGAAAGATGTCTGTGTGTAGAGCAATAAAACACCGGCTCGATTTCTCATATTTGTTATCAATCGGCGCCAGTTATGTCCGATGACGAGGGAAACCCGGGCGATTAATCGGTGAATCTGATCGGTCCGCTTCAAAGTGGCACGCTCGGATTCACGATTCTCGATTCCTCGACCGATCGGCAAGCAGAGACAGGTTCTTCAGCGTGGCACGACGAAAATAAAAATACTTTCATCGAAGGAGTTGCGTAGCCAGTCTCTCGCGCCTCGTCCGTATTTGGAAGTAGAACCAGCGGCAGCCTCTGTTGCGCGTACCCGTGAGTTTAGCTGTCTCGTCAAGACAGTTTTCAGAATGTTTTATGCAACCACCACCATATTTAAAAAGAAATTATTTTACCATGAGTTGATTTTTTAAATCAATCTTCTCGAATTTGTTTCTTCTAATCAAAACCTGTTTTAATAACCTGCGATCTTTTTTAATGAAATTTTTCATAAGAATAATTGCACTGGATATAACCGAGGCGACCTTTTCAAAATACACTTTACGACCCTCTTGGGAGTCGCGACCTACAGGTTGGAAATTCGAATTCTAGACTTTCGAGAATTTATACAACCCCCAAAGCTTACTGATTGAATTACTGGGGAATAAATTTAATAAAATATAGAATTGATTCTGAAACCTCGACAGAAGCAATTCATTCTATGAAAAATGTTCAATAAAGTGGAACATTCTCGTTGAAATTTTTTTTATTTTTTTGCATAATATCTTCTCGGGGTAGTTTGCTTGTCAGGGAAATAAATAAAGATTCTGGGAAGGATGATATTTCGTTTAAAAGTGACTACACTCGAACCATGTTCCGTCAAGTTGAATCGTAAGAATGCCACGCGGAGGAATCGGTTGCAATTAATGAAGGTAAAAAGCGACAATAAACCCCGTCCCTTTCCGATATTCTACGAATCTTAAGAAATTCTATGGCGGTTACCTCGGATCGACCATCGAATCTCGAATTCTTCCGTCGAAGAATGTGAATTCTCGATCGGACAGAAATGCATCTCTGTCGTTCATCGTTGGGGATGGAATGAAAGAACTGTGGAAAAAATAAAGAAGACGATTGAAAGACGAGAACGATGAGAAACCTCGAAGCGACAGTCCATGCCGAATCGATTAGCTCGCCCATCGATGGAATAATTGAAAACGTTCGAGAAGAAGCGCTTCTAACCGCATCCAGCCTACTGCATCAAGGGAGCATCGATTACAAGATCCCTCTCTCTCAACATCCTGTATCCCAGACATCGAAAAAAGGACACTATCGAACAAATACTCGTTCTAACAAACCTTATAAGTAACTTTATTGCCTGTATAAAATACCATGGATTCCGAGTGCCGTGCCAAAGTTAACCAATTAAACGCGACCCATCTTTCCCCTTCGATATCCCTCAACCCTTCAAATATAACTTTTACAGTCTGTCCGTCGAATTTAATCAAACCTTATTAAATAAGAACCATTAAAAATTTATAAAAATTTTTCATATCAAAGCCAGAACTTCGAACCAAGCGTATTCCCAACGACTGACCTACTATTACCTCTGAAAACTTTAATTTTACGCTAGATTTAGAAAGATCGACCAGAATCAACCTCATTTCTGAACTGGTAGCGATCGTACGAGATGCTAATTTGAATTTCTGATCGCAGAGCACATCGTTGGATAGCGGAGCGACGGTGTCCCATCAGGCAACAGGGTCGAGCACCGGTGCCACGGTGGTGACGAGAAGCGGAGGTCGTCGATGGTTGTCGCAGAGCTCGCAATCCACCAGGCAACATTCGGCCGAGGACGGGGTACGTGGGGGCAACGTGGGCGTCATAGGGCCCGTTTCGACCTCGTCCTCGAGTCAGGCCCCTGCTCCCGCCCTACCACCTCGAAGAGTCAGTCCAGCCGACTCCACCGACATCTCGAATACGGCCACTGGCTCCCGCGGCGACAGGTAACGCGCGTGTTCCGTTTTTTTTTTTTTTTCCTTTTTTTCTCCTTTCTTTCATTCTTCTTATCTTCCTCTGTTTACGACGCACGCATCATGTACTACGGTCTCCGACACAAAAAAGTGTCCAGGAAGTGATTATCCCTCGCCTTTTTCCCTTTCGTGCAACGCGTTTTTGTTAGATCGCTATCTCGGCTTTAACAATAAGATGTTTGCCTCGTGATTTGCATACGACGTGAAGATTTTCGAATGCGCCTCCACGTACCGCGAGGTTACGAGTGCTCCTTTGGGAAAAGTGTCGGGCCATGTGGTGATCGATTTCACTGATGGAAAAATCAACCTCGCAGTTTTCTTGAAATTTCGTGTCGCTTAACAGGTTCACTGTGCCATGGGAAATCAAAATCGAACGACACCGTGAATTTTATATAACGTAATGATTTTGAAGATTTTTACGTAAACAGTGATATCGATAGCGTTACGAAATTTTTCTCAGATTTTATTCATGAAATCGTTATTTAATATTTCATGATACAATTAAAGCCACTGTACAATGAAGCCTGAAGAGTTGACCTAAAACTTCATATAACCATATCACTGCTATTATTTCATAAAATTAGAAAAAGCAATTAAGGTTAAAAAGATGTAAGAGATTCAAATCAAATACTAATAACTACACAATCGTCGCGTATGTCTTACCATAGACGTCCGTATTCCCTGGGGCAGTCAACGTGTTAATCATGAAACAGTTTTTTTTCTGCGGTCACAGAGAATCGTATGTACATATGTTGATGAAGCACAAAGTCGTTCTTACGCTCGTTAGTCCTTGCTGAAATTTTTACGTGGGCTCAAAGTTCGTTGTCCCGTGTGGTGTTGGGTCTGTTTCACTGGTGGCCAGGCACGACGAACCAAAAAAGGACTGGCCAGAATAGACGAATAGTAACGGCGTAACAGGACGGTACAATTGCGATGAATAACGAGAAAATATTCATTGGAAACGTATAGTTTGCCGGTGTTGCAAGAAGCGTCGTTTGTCGGATAGAAAATGATACGATGGCTATCTTGGATCGATATCGAAACGAGGTAAAAGAGAAAACTAATTCGATCGTTGCTTTACGTTCGCTCTCTACGGTGTTCGCTTTTTTTTTTCTCGCAATCTTCCGTGGTAGTTACACGCGATGTAACTTTCATGAGATCGAATGAAACGACGGGACCGCTTCCTGCATCGCTCTCTGTGTCTATCCGCGAGGCCTCCCCGCGGAGCGTAACTTGTTTACACACGGGAATGCAAAATTCAAGGAGAAAACGACGAAGGGAGCTGAAACGTTCCTAGAGCTACTCGCGAATCCCTATACGGTTAATCGCTCGTCTTGGATCAATTTTTACGCCGTTTAACGAGCTCGTGGAAAAAGAAGTCCTTTACTTTCCCGGTACACCCGTTTCGTTCGTTACGTTCTCTTGCACGCAATACCGGCATTTGCTAAATTAAATGTAATATAATTATTACATTGCGTTACATTTGAATATCTTCCTGTTGCAACTTAAACGAGGAAATATTTGCATAAATTTCCACAGTCTGGCAAGAAGTCTGCGAGCTACGATAACGCGAAATTTCAGTGAAAATTGAATTAATTAGATGCCGTGAGTTCGAACTTGTGTTCGCGATGTGACGGTACATGGATCTACAGGACGCGATAATTGGTAGTTAACGCGTTAAAGTGATTTTATATCAAGTGGGAGGATCGAATGGAATCGACTACCCCGCAGACGATGTCGACTAGAAGGTAAATATAATTACTGAAGGATATATCTGTGCTCGTATTCTCCGATACGATCGTCCAGAAATAATGGTACATTTAGCCGAGAGTGACATTCGAAGTGAAGTAATTTTGGGGATTTATACCCTCGAAGATACGTCCGTCTACGTCTGGCTGCAAATAGATTTTCGTTCGTTCTCATTGTAACGTTGCAAATAGCACGATTGATTTTAGCATACCGGAGGTATGTTGACTCGTGATTATTAATTAAACTAATCGTTACAGGATACATACTTCTCTCTGTAAAAAGATATTTTATGATAAATTTCATACTAGACGTACCAATTTATAAATGTATCGAGCCATTTAGAAGATTAGAACATCGTTTATCCAAATGTTATTACTATCCTCGAGGAACGATTCAAATCTTGCCAACAATTCCATTTCCCTGGATGATTCTTTCATGAATCATTACAGTAGAAGATTATTCTCCTTCCGTTGTCTTCTTTCCTCGCGTTCGCGTCTGCATTTACCGAGACTCATTAATGATAAACAGTAGTAACATCTGTGAGTTACCGAAGTGTCCGCCTGTCACGTTGACATCCTGAAATTCATTTACCCAACGTCCAGAGATAACAGATTTCATTTTGAAAATATTCTTCCGTGACCTAGATACTTCGTGTCACCTTTACGATGCATTTGAAACGTTCCCGTAACATCAAAATTCACGTGGTAACATTATTTCTTTAGTCATCAACGAGTTTCCGTTTCGTATATTAAAGCGATTACTCTTTAGAAATTTCCTCGTATGCTTGGTTTCAATTAAATCACACTAATGTATCTTTCGTTTTAATTAACACGATTTCACGTTCAAATGCCGGACAAGAGGGGAGTGTTTTTATTTTCGTAGTTGCTGTAAGCTTTCCATCTCTGTACACGGTGTAAAACGAGACAGCAGAAAAGGAAGAAACCCCGGTACGTTTAATTATAGTTTAAACTTGAAACGTTTCCGTGTTCCTGTTGGAACGCACCGCGCAACGTTTCTGTATTTTCGTCGAAATACGGACGAATCCGATTTACCTCGACTCCTACTTCACCGACTTTTGTCACATATTCCAGAAAGCCCGCGCTATCGTATCGTGCTTTCGAATCAACGAGAGAAGCTTTCCATCTCCGTAGACATTTCGAAACAAGATGGATCCAACGTTCTCGTTTTCCTTACTTTCTTTCCTCCCCCTCTCGTAACGCCTTTATTTGCTTCCCCTCTATCTGCTGATATCTATATCTATATCCTTAACCACCATGAATATTTATACGATGAGATTGTATTGGACGTAGCGAGGCGGACATCGTGTCCAGGTTACAACAATCTCCTCGAATCTAGTTTCTATACAAATTTTGGATATTGTGTATACACGCGTATTGCGCTTGAGACTCTGTTTGCAAGTGTAATTTTCTTGAAGATCCAACTCGGAATAGTCGCTGATAAATGCGATCCGATTGCGTGTATTTTATTTATTCTCTACTTCGCGAGGAAATGCGTTAGAATATCTAATGCTATAAAGTACGAACGTTCGATAAGGAAATTACATTCCCTGGCCCTTATGAATTTATTCATATTACGTAGAAAATGAAATTGGAGTTTTGAGAATGAATAAGATGCCTGTTGCAATGACAACGAGAAATGAAACGTTCCTTTTACAGAGGTCCGAACGTGTCGATCCTCCACTTGCGCGGCACTGCGGACCCTTGGGAAGTTGGTTCTCAAGGTTCCACGTACAGCATCGGCAGCAATAAAAGCCAAACTGGTGGCAAAGGGAAATCGAGCGGAAATACACGAGGCTCGTACACGCGTGGTACTTCGATACCATCCCTGAAACGTCACGATACGACGGCATCCGCGTCGTCTACTTCTAGTTTGAAACAGCATCGACAAGATAGCCACGGACAGGCAAGTAAAACCATCGAAAATATCACTTTCCCCATACGTATTTTCTTATAAATCTATCCCTGCTTCGATACGAAAGCAGTAAAATCTTGGATATCAACTTTTACATTTTCACTTTTATATCCGTTTCGTACGTTCTTGTACGTTGAGTGAAACTTTCGTTGAAAGAACCTGCTTTAAGCATTGTATCTCAAAATGGAAAGCGGCGTAGAATTTTTCGATACTCCTTGAAAAAGTTTCGTCCTTTCCAAAGTATCCCGCGACGCTGTACATTTCCAACGCTGAACTTACCCGAACAGGTGACTAGTTCTCGTCGCCGGGAATCCTCGAACTCGTTCCTCTCGAGTAACAGCGGAACATCCGGCGAGCTGTTCATTAGCGGCGACTGTAGCAGGGAATTATCGCCGGTCAGATGGTGCGACAGAGAAGTGGACGGGGTTTATTTGGGTCGGTCCGGTTGGGTTCAAGTGCAGCAAAGGTCTCTCGACGAGAATCGTAGGATAAACTACGAGAGTAGCCTGGTCACAGCGACCACGGGCACTCTGCCGTTACCGCGACGTGCCACGGTTAAATTGGCCGATTACCATTGCAACAGCGAGCCAGGAAAATGTCCCGAGGAATTTCTACGATTGGACAGCCAGAGGCCGGACTACCTGGCCCTCCACGGCCAGGATTTCGATTCCGTAGCGAGTAGCACCTGTACCTCTCCTCACAGTATCCCGGAATCTTACTCACCCCCGTCGATCACGCCGATCATCTCGCCCCCGCCAGCTTTCCAAGATGTAATCGGCAAGAAATCATCCTCGAAACACTCGTCTGGACGCAACAATTACGGGAAAGCACCGTTTTTGCCGCGATCGAACGCCATCGTGGACAGTGACATCATTAGCCCTCCTCCTTCGCCACCGCGTCAGGTGAATTGGAGTTCCTTACCGTCTTCCTCTCGAAAATCGGCTGGCACTCCGTCCAGACCACGGAGACAAAATACTACTAGTCAACAACAACAGCAACAACAGCAACAGCAACAGTATCGAATGGCTCAAGCCAAATCGTTGGAGGATCAGTCTTCCACGAGAAGATCGCAATTCGTTCAACGTTATCTAGAATCGTCGAGTTCCTCCTCGTCTTCCGTTGGTTTTCGAAGTCTGGATAGTTGCGTGACAAGATCGACGATGCCGAGGTTAGCCGAGAACACTGATTCCTCGGTGGAGGGTTACGACGACGGGGACGACGAGGATGATAATCCTAGCTCCTCGTTGAATCTCAGCCTGGTCTCTTCGTCGATCATCGCATTGAATTCGTCCAACGAATCGATACGAGCTAACGGCGAGAGAATTTCACCGAACAGGCAAGGTCGGCATCACAGAAGTCAACAGGGATTGAGAAGATCGCCGGGCTCCTCGGAATCCGGCAAGTTATCCTTCAATTCGCCCTCCTCTTCCTCCTCGTCATCGAGCAGCGCCGAGCGACAAGGAAGATCGCCGACCCCGAATCCTTTCAGGCGTGCTAACGCTACGAGGCAACATCAGAGCGCAAGAACGGCCCAAGTGTCCCCGGAATCTCATCAGTCGAGGGTAAGAAGATCTAGAAGTCTTCAGTTACCGGAGAAGAGGTCTCCCGGTGCAGCGGCTCCGAGCAGGGAACACTCGAGGGAATCTAACGAGCCGCATAGAGTCGTTGTTAAAATTTCCACCGACCGGGGCAACGAGAGGAAACGTCATATCCTTCAGAATAGTATGTATCATTCTCCTTTATTTCGTTGTCATTTCAATTCCTTGCGAATCGCATTTTTATCTACCTAAAGTTTTATATAAAGACGGGATATCAAATACAATGCAAAGTACACTAGGTCCTCCATAATTCCTTATCTTTTCCACGGTTAGTTTACACGATTCCTCCTTGATTCCTCTTTCGCCAAAACATGTCGTTCGTGTGTTTTCCAGGGAAAGCACAGTCAACCGAGGACGCGTTAAACGAGGAGCTTCTTCGCGAAACGGAAGCAGTGACAGAGTACCTTTACGGGACAAGAAGTCGTGCAATAACCAGAAACCTTATGCCGAGCCGTTTCGAGCGTCGGGAGGATAGCCAAGAGCAAAGGCAAAGAAACAACCTCACCACTTATGACGTCTATTTTATCTCGTCGAAGCAGCAACAACCGCAGTCTTCTAAATCGTCCGGTTCGTCGATGCAGCAATCGCAACAGCAACAACAGGCTCAACAACAGCAACAACAACAGCAGCAGCAGCAATCCAGAAGGCCAAAGACCCTTCAAAGGGGAGCAACGACCCCGAACGCGAACCCTTCGTCGTCGAATCATGACTTTTGCATCAGTCCGGAAGCGAAATTACGTTGCAACAGCAGCACTTGCGATTTCTGGCCTCACTGCTCGCAGAGAGAGACTCTCTACTCCCCGAGCCAAGCTCCGGTATTCATGAAGCTGTCCCAGAGCTATCCAGCTCATCAGAGGCTCCCTACGGACACTGGTAGCAGCCACGTGAACCGAGGAAGCGCTAGTTCATCACCGGCATCGTTAGAGCGAATGGACGATCGAGAGTTCCGGGAACGCGAGAATTCTCGAAAAAATCGTGTTAATCGCGAGCAAAACAACCCCAGCACGTCCAAGTATCAAGATAGACAGCCGAAGAGCGTGTTGAAGCAACCGAATCGTTGGTCACCCCTCGAGGGATCGAACGGGAACGGTTCGAACGTGGAGAAAAGGGAACACCATCGATTTTATCAGAAACCGGAATACGCTGGCAGTTTCGAAGCTTGCGAGAACAAAGATAGAAAAGTATCACCTGTCCAGGGGAAGAATATCGTTAACAGATCACCCAGCGGTCACGTCGCCTCTTCGTCGACCTCCTCGTCTTCCAGCAGCGACATATGGGTCACCACGTCCGACAGAACGGTCACGAAAAGTCCGAGAAACGCGAAAAGTTCGGGTGCGTCTACCCCCATGGAAGATGCGGTGATTGGTTCCCTTAAGACGTTGATCGAACCGCCGAAAGATGGAATGCTGTCCAGGCCTGGAAGTGCTCCAACCAGAGGGGAGGATTCTCTGTCCGCGGATGCGTCTTTGGATCCTCATCAACGATCGCTCTCTCTGCCCAAGTCCTTTCTCACCCACAACACCGACAGGTAAGTACCAGCAGAATATTTTTACTCATTTTACGATTGCTTTGCAAATGATTCGGGGAAACAATTATTTTTAAGTTTAATTAGCTTCGCATTCGAATCTTCAGGGACTATTTCACTGTCCCATAAATCTAGAACTCTTCCACTCGATCGATAGGGTATGCACCATGATCGCGTGTCAACATGAAATTTCATCTAATCCATCTATACAACGAACAAATATTTTGATATAATATTTTCTGAAAAATCATGCGAACGCTGTACACGCGAAACGCTTTCCGCAACTCGTGCAATGTTTGTACACGCGATGTTCAATTGTTTAAAGGTTCAATTACTTCGTTCTCAGTTATACGAGTTTCCTTGAATATCGTGACCCAAAATCACTAATGGTGTAATTGCACACGCGTCACGTGCAGTGAATGTTTCAACCCTCCGGATAGACATCCGATCCTCCCCGGTAAACACAGGTGTATCGGTTAATCCTTTGGGGAACGTCATTGAAAATTTAATTAATATCGAATTGTTTTATATTGAAATGTTTCATCGTCTGTCAAAATAATTACCATCCTTATCCAAACTGACGGGATAACTGATGTGTTTATAATTTCTCCATAACAGATGCTCGTAGATGATTATAAGAATAGTATAACGATGTACAAAAATACCGATATGATGTCAGAATATCGATGCACCGAACGATATAATAATCTAACAGCATCGGTGCACCGATATAACTTATCGATATCCAGGTCATACTCGTACACCGTAATTACATTCGCAATTTACCTACGTACCGTGTTTCTTCTTCACGAATCCCTTTTCAGCCCGATTAAAAGTAGCACACATCGTTCTATCCGCGTGTCCCTTTAACCTTTCGGATTCTGAATTTCTCATTCGACGCTTCCACAAATCTGTTTTTAATCTTCAAACCTCAGGACCCTTTGCTTTCTGCCGAAAAAGACAGGTAAATTGAAACGACGATCGTACGAGCTTGCAAAGTGTAATGCGACGTAATCGCGCGTTCGTCGAACCGGTTATGTCCGCGTGTAAAATCGCCCACGCGTAAACCCACGCGAAATTTGCGACTCACAAAGGACGATTATAGTGATTCCAGTTCGTGCCGAGTACAACCAGAAAGCTGACAATGTTACGTTCCATTTGTCAAAAGTATTTAGCACCGAGTTGGTTAAAAATAACTCGGCTTTTATCTGTTTCGAAATAAATGGAAATCGGCTGGTCCGGTCGGGGGGAAATTTTTCTTCCTTCCCCTCGAACACGCTCCTCGCGTGTCTTTGGATCTTTAAATTGGATACTACTTGGTAAGTTTTCCTATACCCTCTGCCCTATGGTTTATCCGTGAGTGGAACTTCCGCGAACTCTTCCATTGTGAGTTGTTCTTTTCATTCTTTATTCTTTCAAATCGCTCGAGTTTCCGGAGTAACCTATCCGCTGTTTGGATATTCGCATATCTTGCTATGAAATTCCTTCGCGAACACGCGAAACGTCGTTCCGTGATATCGTGAAATTATTCGTAGATAAATTTTTTTACGAGGGTATGATAATTCCTCGATGTATGAATTCGATTTAGGACTGACCCTTTTTTTAAATTTATCAATCTTGATTAATCGATGTTTTCCTGAATTCGAAAGCAGTTCGAAGGAAATTCTGACAGTTGTGTGTTCTTCCTTTTTCATGTCTTTACATAACAATGCTTTGTTAGCTGTTCTTTTATCTTTTTCCTCTACTATTCTGTGAATAGAGTGTTAATTTTTCCTTGATGAATAATTCGTTTACTTTTCCTGGAATTATGTCTGTCAAAAGATGTACACGTACAGTTACAAATTTTTCAAATTATTTTCGTTAACATCCGAGGATAAAATTTACGTCAATCGAGTTTATAATGTTTCGTTTGGTATTCTGTACTAGTACGGTTTCAACGAGACTGGCTGACATTAATTTTTGGAAATTCCACTTCACATGCAGCAGAAGTAGAATTTAAACATTCAGATTTTCTAATTTTATATAAAACAAACGTGATTACTGACGTTTGAAATAACGCAAAGAATACGTTGATTTTATTCGTTGGGAATATCATTCTTTCCCTCTATAGAATCATAAAAAGAATCTGTTTCGCATACTAGCTGAAATAATGAAATGCAGACTATTAAAGCAAACACAAGGATAATTCCTAGAATTTCTTCCTGGCAAAGGTTACATAACTACCGATGGAAAAGCAGAATTTTCTTCGTAAATCTTTCTCTTTGTATGTTAAATTTCCTCATGTTCCTGAAAATTATCTATATTCATATAAATTTATATACACTTCGCCGCTGCCTTGCGTTTGTACACATGAACGCTCTTCACCTTTCACATTACTGTTCGCGGTACATGGAGTGAAAAATATTTGACAGAAACTGATATTGTAAAATTTGACTTTCGATTTGATACGTGACTTTATTCAAATGATGTATGCGCAGCTGATGTTAGCGTTGAATGAATCAGAATTTACAGGCCGGGTTACCGTGTGATTTTTAAACTAATCAAAGATTCAGGAGGAATTCAGAGGAATAATGAGAACAAACTGTGATCTCTGTAATTTCACTTTTAATCTTTTTATAAAGTTACAAATTACATCACAATTCAATTTGCATCTCAACAATCTCTTCGCATTAATAACAAATTTACAAACTTCTAGTAAAATATCCGACGCGAATCAAGTTTTACTGAAAATTCAAATTCAAATTTGATACAAGGATGATTTTAAAAAACGCTTCCGATTTTTTTTTTAAATCGATCGAATTAATGATCGTGTAATCCATCGGGTGGGGAACAAAAGCGAAACGGTATCGCTCGCGAATCAACTGCAAGCGCCAAGTTTAAACTTGCGCATCGATTGCACGGATCGATTGCACCTTCTTCTGGGTGCTGATTTCTTTGCTGTAAGCGCTACCTAGAGGTTCTATAACGATCGACCTGTGCCGGCTACTTTATTCTGAAACTAACAGATGGCCTCGCATCCCGCTTTCTCACCTGTCCTGACTGCTACCTGTATTTCTTTACCGCGCCACTGCCGTTCCACTTTTCACGGCGCACGATTTTCAATCAATTGAAAAGCTTCGCCGTATTGATTGAATCGACACGAAACGAACTGAAACTATTCCCATTGAGAAACATCGGAAACACAGTACCGATTAATTGCAGTTGCATTTCATTGAATTTTTCCCGCATCCAATCTGTTCAACTTGTATAATATTCTGATTGATATCTATAAAAGTTACAAATAATTATCGTTGTGAAAATGTTAAGAATAACATTAAATTATATTAGCATTCTGAATATATTTTGATAATCCATACAACCGTGTGTCTGACTAGGCAAGCCTGATTCTACTGCGTCAGTGGAAATAGATTTCTCCTGCATGCAAATTTTAGACGGACGACATATAAATTATTCAAATTATTTAAATTTCTCCTTTCTCAGCGATTTTAAGCCTGCCTCAGCCAGAATAATAAATTCCTTTATAATTTCGTTCCGCTTCTGCTTGCTTCTTACGTTTGATTCAATTGTTCATTTCCGATCCTTGTGTTTGACAGCGAACGAAAACCGTTTCGAATCGGATGAGCTTGTTCGAGAAATACAGAGAACATTTCTAGGTGAAAATTGTAATACAAGGTAACGAGAAAATGTGAAAGGTGTGAAATTCGTTTAAATATCGTGTCGCGAACGTGACCAGCAATTAGGATTAGCTGGCTTCTTCTTGAAGTCAAAATTCAGTGAAACGAAGCCGTGCGATCGCATCGTAATAGCGTGCATTAATTACAAACTCAGTAATTACTCGAACTTGAAAAGAGAGAGAGAGAGAGAGAGAGAAAATACTTCAATGGACAAGTTTAAAGCGGCAAATTACCACGTTCGCGTTGGATAATGATTACCTTCCTGCGAATTTTCAGACAGAAACAAAACGCCAACGTATTATTGACGCTCGGTGGTCGTCGTCATTTTCTTTGTTACTTCCCTGATAAATGGTAATTAAAGCGTGTAGCGTACGATCGATATGAAAGGTTTTACGTTTGGCTGCTCCCGATTACTCTTCAACCCTTCATTCATGGGGGATTTGATCAAGTTTGACCGGTTGTTCTTTCGACACCTCGGACACCTTCCCATTTTCATGACGATTTTAATTAGCGATAATAATTTCATTTAAATGCGCAACGCGCGAATAACAAATGATTGAAAATTAATTAGTACAAAATCATTCGAATTAACTCATTAGGGATTAACCTGTCGACTTGCAATTATTGCAGCAACAAAAGGGGTTAATCCTGAGATGAAAACATATTCCCACGTGGACATTATTTCTGGGTTAATATACCGAATTGCCCGTTGGTAAATTTTGATTTGCGAAACGGGTACGTGCAGAGGAACTGATTCTGTCGAAGCTCGAAAGAATCGTTCGGTTGACAACGGAATTGACTTGCATTCCACGTGTTAGGTTCGCTCGATAGAATTGCTCACGTAAGAGAATTTTATCTTGGCGAAGAGCATTGCACCTGCAACTTACACCCGTTCAGGTCGAACGATACGAAGGAGGCGATGAAATTACATGCTTTCACTGCCGACAATGCAGAAGGTCGACTAACGTTGCGAGAGACGTTCGTTGACTGAATTCGCGTTTCGATCCTGTTTCCAGAACGCCGGAAGTCGCTTTGTTTGCGATACTCGTATAAAGAGGTGCGATCAATTAACACCTTCGAAATCGATGAACACGGCAAGATTACAGTTACAACGAAAATTTTTACCTTGCATTTCTGTGTCATTCGACTCGTATGACGAAATTGGAGAAACCGTTGGATCTCTTCGAATAAAGTATACAGATTTGCTCTTGAAAAATAAAAAATTATAATTTACGGGACGTTAATCTGTTTGAAGATAAAGATAAAAAGCGCGAGAAGCTTCTTTTTCAGAAACAGTAAATCCAATTCGAATTTACAAGGAAAACGTGA